TACCTGGCGCTCCCCCCCCCAGCCGCTTTTCCAAAAGCCTCTAGCATTGCATGGGGTTGTTGTGACCCAAGCGCAGGATCCAGCACTGAGCCTTGTTGAACCTCATACAATTGGCCTCAGCCCATTGATCCAGCCTGTCCAGGTCCCTCTGTAGAGCCTTCCTACCTTCCAGCAGATCAACGCTCCTGCCTAGCTTGGTGTTGTCTGCAAAATATACCAAGATTGCTTTTTGCATAGGTTACTGTTTTCATTGATCCAACTTGTGACAGTTGACCTCTTACACATGGCTAGGATGAGCAGACAGCATGCTGAGTAGATGAGCCAGTCTAAATTTAAATCTACCTCCTTTTAAATGTGCTTAAATGACCCAGTGGGGCCTTGTACCAGCTCCCAACCCTGCTCTGGTCTACCTTAATTAGCACTAGATCCATTTGGTGCCTGGTTTGCTTTCATTGGTAATTTGAGAGTAGAAATTTTTCTAGGAGGTGCAGCAAAAGAAACAAATATACTTCTTAAGAATGTCCCAGCATTTGCCTCCTTTTTAGCTTTTTAACAGCTTATCTTAGTTTACAGGAGCAAAAATAGAGATTTACAAGATACAGCTTTACAAGTTTGTTAAAGGCAATACATTTGTTTGTATACCTAATACTAGTACTAATAGTTTGGAAAAAAAAATGCTTACTTTAAAAAAGGTAGGTCATCTTGCGTGACTAGTCTTGTCACCTTCCTGTCAACACTGCTACAAGAGACCATACTGTATTTCTAGGTTTTAGAACATGTCCTTAATCGTGCCTCTGGGCAGATTAGATGCAAATGTCTTGCTCAACACGATCTATTGTATTTCTAAAGAAAAGCAAATAAAACTAGCCTGAACAAAACCACATGCTCAGACAATGAGCACTTCTCTCTGGCAAATCACTGTAATAGCCTTTATCAATGAAGGTATTTAAGTTACAAGGCTAAAGATTAACATGTATTTCATGTTTTTCTTTCTGTTGTACAGGACATTGGTCTGGGCATTGGCAATGCTAACAGTTTGGCAGGATTTCGGACAGATTTGTGGAAGATCTATTTATCTACACCAATGAAAAAGATATTTGGTTATCTGAGCAAATCAAATCACCCAAATGGAAAGATGGGGAGGGAGCAAAAGCCAATGATGCTAAAGCAACACAGAGCTCTCTAATGAGTTTCAATATTTTTGCAACAGAAATGGAAATAAGTGACTAAGTAGCATGGTGTGCATATGTGAATTACTGTTTTCATGCTGATTGCGCTTAAAACACTATTCCAAGGTCAGCAGGTATGGAAAAAAAAAATCACTTCTCATTCTATGCTTATATATCTTTGTTAGTCTTGGTCTTCACTGAGAGACCACTGTCTACTGGTTTCCTAATAGTTTTAGTAAAAGTAGTATAAGCTATGCAAAAAATTATGTACATGCTATCTAAACAGTGCAGGTATCAAAATACCTTTGATTTCTCAAAAATACCTTTGATTTCTCAAAATACCAATGATCTGTCATTAGGTATTATCTACTGCCTGCTGAAAACACTGCCTCAAGTCATAAAAGTTTCCCTTTATATAGCTATAAAACCCAGGCTACCTGGATCCAATATAAACATGTAAAAACTCCTTTCTTTTACAGAAGCAAGTGGATGCTTGTCCCTGCCAGCTATTATTCCCTGTGACAATCTTCAAAAATCCCTCAACTACTACTTTAGTGAATTAATACCACAGTTTAGAAACAAGGAGTTTATAGCCAAAGTAACTTGTTTGATCTTTTGGGACCAGGTATGACCACCAACGGGCTAGGGAGCCCACCGAAAGTCCTAGGTCCTAGCGGCTGCAGTCACAAACCCTTCAGAAGGAGAATTTGCCCACAGGCATGGGGTATCCATAACCTGTGTTAGTCTAAGGATGGATATTCCAAAATTAAAGGATCCTTGAAATTCAGAGACAGCGATACCAAGCTTTTCTGAGCTGGGATGAGGAAGCCATATTCAAAATGTTCTTCATGTGCATAAGGTACCGTTACAGACAATAACTGTGATTAAAAGACAAATAAAAGGTAATTATTAAATATACGCATACATGCTGAGGTATGTTTGTCAGGCTTTTTGTTTGATTATCTGGATTTTAA